TCTATACGCCGATTCTTGGTGAGATCGTTGCCCCGACACTCTTAGGTTGTCAGTAGTTTTAACACGATTAGAGTGACTAGCCTGTGGACTGTACCACTTTACAAAATATTTACAAAAATAAAATAAAAATTTCTTTTGCATGTTAAAAAGAACTCTACATAAAAAAAAGACTTGAACAACTTGTGCATGAAAACCTTTCTATGAAAATTTATAAAAGTCCACGGTTAGTCATTTGGATCGAGGTTAAGGACTGACTGCCTTCTGTAGATTGTCGGGTTGGCAACTCTTACCCAAGGTCGGGAAGCACACAGTCCAGCTCTGAGCCCCCACTTTCACCAATGTCTTATACCCAGTTCTAATCTTTCATATGTGGTTATATGTTTCTTTTGCTTGTGATTTTTACTACTCGTTTTTATGACTTTCATGCTGGGTTTTCTTGCTTTATTTAATTTTCTTGCAAGTTTATTAAGATCTGCTGCAAATCATACTATGCTCGCAATATTAATCATGCAACAGTAGCAGATGCCCAGGTACGCTTTTACAGTTTATCTACAGCATTTTACTTTACTGCATTTCAAGTGCCTTTTATTCTACCTGTAATCTACTCATTCTGCATGCAAAACCAAACTTTGACATCAAAACTGTGAAACATAAACTACAACCAAAACTGTGAAGCACAAATCACCACTCAAACCCTTAACCCTTGGAGCCATCGCGACGACAGGAGCTTGGAGCCAACTTTGTCGGCAGCACGGCGAGAAATTCAGATCGCGCAGCAAGAGGATCTTCTTCAGCATTATTTCTTTTTAGTATAATAACAACCCATAGGACTTCGAGGTAGCTTGCCTAGCGCGACGTAAATCCTCACATTCCCTCTTTAGGCACCTGTGCAACAATATTGCGCAGTGGAAGTCCTAATTCGCTTTAGGTTCTGAGGTTGTTGTTCGTTACAACGTAAACCCTCTTATCTCTGCGGGTTATTTGCATAATCGGATATTATGCAAATGTAAGTCCCAAATAATAAAATTAGCAGGACTAAACATTCAAATAACATCATCTCTAAAAATGCAGTCACACAGTAGGATAGTTTGGGAAGTCATTGAGGGTTCTCCCAAGATCTAGGACATCCCCTACCTTTTCTTTTCTTTGGACTCCTGAAATAACTATTCTTACTTGAGCCACTCCCACTTGTTTTTTTCACGTCCTACCGTGAAAACCTAAACCTTGAAATCTTGAAGATCGAGAGTTTTCTCAAGTGACTCCCGTCATTTGGGATGTAATTAACTATAGGGGCTTGCCTCTATAGGGAACTTGGAACCCAGGTAAAATAAACCCTATTTAATCTTTGTATTAAATAGGGAAACTTATCGGTCATACATAAAAGGTTCGCAGACCAAACGGATGTCACAAATCTCTTAGTTTGCAGGATTGGGTCTATCCCTGAGGTCTACACTTATCTCTCGGGAGGGTGTAGTATTCGCGCTATCGGGCACGATTAAGCAAACTATCAGACTAATGAGATCCATTTGGTCTCATTTTTCAAAAATTAAAACATACTACTTTTAAAACTCAAACTATATATCTTTTATATTTAAATTAAATCTCAAAAATTATTTTCATATTTTCATATTTTCAAAATCTAAATCAATCCATCGAAAAAGTTGACCGACATCTGCATGTAATTATACCAAAAGAAAAATTGCGTTCAAACTAAATGTTTCTTTTACATGCCTTGGAGATTTATATTAATAAAAATCAAAATTTCTATGTTAGTCTCTGAATTTTGTGGATGAAATTGATTGCAAAAATCAAATTTCCATAGAAATTTCATGCAACCTCCTATTTGCCTTCTTGGAAAATAGGTGTCATAGAATCAGGAATAACAATCCGCAAAAAATAACTATAACGACTTTACTGAGAAATAACATCACGGGTAGATTAACATATAACAATAACTAAATTAGTATAAAAAGTAAATAACATCCATGAAATAAGCATGGCAATAAAAACATATTAGGATAAGACATATGGTAACAACAAGAGCTAATAACATTCACAATTTAAAGACCAATAACAACAACCATTCAAATAGTATAAAAGCAACTATTCAAACATAAATACAACAAAATCAATCACACTGCACCGGACCAAGAACTTGGATATCAAATGTATGATTGCATAAATAACAATTTCTAAAATAAAATAGACCAACTACTTAAAACAAATTAATTTTGCTGATATCGATATTTGATGTGATGCTTTCGATGAGAACAAACACAAAAATTCACATCAACCACTCCAATATTTAATGATATAAAAGCTAAAGTCAGTTGCTAAATCATAATCAACATTTTTTTTTGTTTTACAGATGGTAGTTCAGCTCTAAGCATGTATCCAAATAATTGCTAACAAAAAATAGCAGTATCTTTAGCCACATGGAAAACAAGAGATTTAAAGGAAAAATATCTGTGAAATGAAAATAGAGGTATAAATTTGCAGAATTTAAAGATCACCAGAAACTTCTGCAAGAAAATTAAGGGAAAAAAAGACTCACTTAGAAACAGCAGTAGCTGTCAAAGCTATTATTGGCACACCTGGAACATGACCCCTTAAAGAAGATAGTTTCCGGTAGCTCGGCCTATATCATAAGCATAAGCAATATTAGACCAGAAAACACACAGATTAGAATATATTAACCGATAAATGGAAATAAATGAATGGATCGAATAGAAATTCATAGGAACCTGAAATCGTGACCCCATGTGGAAATGCAATGTGCCTAATGTCATAAAATTAATGAAAAAATAGCACTAGATAATAAGAGTTTAAGGTTGAAAAAAAAGCAAAAAATTTAAACCTAAAAGGCATTTTTGATTGCCGAATGAAGAAAATATTTTATTTTTTGAACCTCATCAATAGCAATTAGACTAAGCAGCCCTCTCTTGTAAAGATTTATCAGCTTTAAGGTAAACCCAGATGTTGCAACCAATTCTGGAGTCACGTACAACAGCTTAACCGATGGCATTTCTGAGTTGAGGTCTTCAAATATCTAACCCATTAAAATAAGCAACAATTGTAAGCTTCCCACAACAAAAAGAATATTAAACAGCAAATTATAAATCACACAGAAATTTCAAATTTTGCCTCGAAGCAAAAACATTAAAGAATCATGCCAACACCTTCATGCTCTAATACAAGTAACAAAAGCAGAAAGTAATTGGACAGTAGATTGTATTAAACGTCTTGAAGCTCTCTCCAAAATTGACAAGACAAAATATAAAGAGTCAAACCAGCTAAAAAGGAGTTGAGGTAAACCATTTATCAAGCCTTTCTATAATACTCATCAATTTAGACAACATTTCACAATATTTATTTTCATTTTAAAATTAGATTTACCATAATAGGAATAGAAATAATAAAAAGATAATAGCATCCTTAATTTAGAGTTCGCTTTTGATGAGATTGTTGACGGTTGATTGCTTCTTCCTCCATTAATCTGAGCTGTGAATGTGCAGAGCTCCAAGTTGTGCACAAGTAGTTCTCTTCCTCTCCCCTCCTCATTCTATGAATTTAATAGTATTTAATTGTTTATGTTTATTCTACTCCTTTCAAGAACTCTCAAGCACCATCATTCTCATAAGCCATAGCACTTCTTGTCCAAACGGTTAAATAAAAAAAATTCCATAAACCGCTCCATCAATTATGGTATCGAGTAACATCTGATTTTTTTTCTATATATATTCTAAGATTAGCCAACCATAACACCATTTTCCAATGCCTTTATTTGATTTCCACACATTCATCAATTTTTTAACGCTTGAAGTTGTGCTCAATTTGGAACAAAAAAACAAATAAATGAAAAAAAGAGAAAATTCATGAAAAGGGAAAGAAAAAGAATATATATATATATATATATAAAGAAAAGAATATATATATATATATATGTACATATGTAATATCATAAGTCATCCTCTTAGAATTAAGGCTTGTATAGAGCTTATATGAAATATAATGAAGATATTTATCATAGTTTTGAAAAAAAATATTAAAAATACATTTATAAGAAATAAGCGGGACATAAAATTACGATAATAATATAATTTGATGACTTTGAAATGGAGAATAAATAAAAAGTGAAAGCATTCATGGAAATTTTGAAGATAACAAAATAATTAAAACCATGTATAAAAAATATGCAAGAAGATAAATAAATGTTCTATATTGCCATGACATCATAAAAATTAAAAAAATAATTATTATTTTTTCTATCAAATCATGTAATTAGTGCAATGCATCAACAAGATAGACCTCTCTTGCCTTCGGTAATGCTAGAAAGTCTAGCAAAGAGTTAATTTCATCTTAAGAAAAACCCTAGACATACTCTTAAATTTAGAGTGTATCCTAAATTCTTCCTAAACCATCCAACTCTCTCTTACTTAAGCTTCCCCAATCTAAAATAGCAAGGAATACTCATATTAGATCCCCAACCTCAATCTTCCCAACTCCTTTTTTGTCAATAAGTTACCCCTTTTCTACAAGATTAATCTAAAACTTATATTTCTGCTACAAACTCTATCCACTCTCAACACACACACACTCACACTACTTAAACCTTCTCTCAAGCCAACCCCCTCCACTATAAATGAAAAGCATTCATTTACTCCATCACCAAATAGCCTTAGCCCCACCTTTCTCTCTCAAAAATCTTAAAGTTAATCTTTCCCCATCACTATTTTCTTCTCACTATAACCTTATGCATAGATTGCTTGAGAAAAAAAGAGTAAATTACATAAATAGCACAAAAGTCTTACCTATTTACAAAACTAATGCACAAAATCATTTTTTTTAAAATTACTGCACAATTGCAACATGAAATTTCCATCAGTAAAAAAACTGCAAGAGGTATTCATCAAAAGGCTGCTATTGCTACCATCATTTCTATTACAAAAAAGATCTATTGTCTTCAAAGCGATGCATCAATCAAATTATCATTGCACGCTCAAGAACAACAATCATACAAAAAGCAAGCATTGATATATTGAACTCTTCTGTTTCTAGGTATTCTAAGCGTTATTTTATTCCTGAATTATTAACATATTAGCTTGATACGTTAATGTGCATTCCATAAAATCTTTTAGCTTTAAACTCCAGCTTATCCAACCCACATTTATTTAATGATAATCTTACATGCATCACCTGAATAAATCTAACTAATTTACTATTAATTCGTGATTGATAGAACGACACAAAAAAGCAGATAAACAGATTTATTATTTGCAATTTCTTCATTAACAAGGTCAGTTTGCTACACCATTACATTTAAATAACATTAATGATAGGAATTGCAATACATAGTATTATTACAATGATATGCATGAAAGTCATGATTATATTTATTATTGCATAATATTTAGTTGATCTAAAAAATATTAACATGCTTATTGATTGGTTTTATGACAAGCCTTTTTATTGTAATTACATGAATGAACATAAAAAATAAAATAAAACTTACCATATCCGGGTCACCTAGTTTTGCAGAACTATTAAATATTCAATACAAAAACACTTAAAATACTTACCTTAATAAGGCATGAAATGAAACTTACTCATACAAAAACATTTGTCAATATCATATTCAATTATGAATTTAGAGATCTTAAATAGGAAAATCAATCTATCACTAAATATTATAATTTTCTTTTCCTAGCAAGATTATAGATGATGATTTAGTGAGAATATTTGAAGAACCATGAATCATAATAAAAAGGGTTATGGATGAACTCATATCAAATATCAGCAAAAAAAATAAAATGGCAAGGCCGTCAAACTTTCACGACCCAGCTTGAAAATTTAGAATTAATCAAGTTAGGAAGACGACATTAACATTTAATTTAATTTTAACATATTTTCAAATTTTCTAATATATATAAAAAAGCCACTAAGAAACCACAAAATACACTACACAGAAATCAAAACATCCAGAAATAACCACACAGTTTGTAGACAACATCTCAAATTAGCACAGAACAATATATCTCTATCCAAAAGTAAACATTACAAAGAAACCACAATCATAATATCTATCAGCAGTAATCGACCTTCTGTAAACTAAATCTCTCCAATCAGACATATGAATCAACAATTTTTTTCTGAAAGAAACAATTAACTTCAAGAGGTTATTTGTCACAACTTAGTTATACATTAATATTATATGCAAATATTATGCATGAATGACCAAATAAAATGTAGTTCATTACTTTTTCAAACTGGAAACTTTTATTTTAAATTTGACTCTTCACATTTCAATTTAAGCATTTATTCTTTTTAATCTCCTTAAAAATACATGTCAGAATTACCGTCAAACCCGAAGGTATTTTCAAATTTATACCAAAGGTACCCTTAAAAATTTGCACCTGAAGTTACACCTTTATCATTTTTTATTTTTTTTTCATGCACGGCAAATATAGAGGTGTAAACGAGTCGAACACGACCGAGCCCAAACTTAGCTTATGTTTGGCTCGTTAAAAAATACAAATGTCCATGTTCGGCTCATTTATATTTCGAACAAAAAAAAATTATTCGTGTTCGGCACGTTTTCTTAGAGAGTCGAACACAAGCTGTTCGAGAACAAAGAGCAATTTTGACAACCCTAATCACGTAGGCATAGGATGTTAAGGGTAGGGGCGAGATTTAAATCTTTTTATTTATATTAAAATTTCATTTTAAAATAACTGAATATATTTTCATTCCATTTTTTAAATTAAAGCTTTTAATTGATTATAAATTTTTGTAGACTTGTAGACAATAAAATTATTTAAAATTGCTATATATATATTATATATATATATAACTTCATTATTTCAAGCCAAAACGAGTCGAACACGAACGAACAAATCTTTGTTCATGTTCAGCTCGTTTATATATCGAACGCAAAAAAATTGTTTGTGTTTGACTCATTTGCTTAGCGAACGAATCGAACGTGAGCTTCTTAACGAGCCGAACACGAACTGTTCGTAAATAACGAGTCGTTTTGACAGCGCTATCCACAGGTACATAACATCTCATGTAAGTACCATCTAAGGGTTGGTTTCAGGGTTTATAATGAGACATTCGACCTTAAGGGTTCTTTTGGATGACTTATATATCTCTATTGGTTCTTCCCACATGTGAAATTTCAATGAGACAACCAAGTTTCTCTACTTTTCAGTGCTATGGCTTTTGAGATTTTTCTGCGTCTTTTTTAATGATATGCATATGTGATGACACATACAAGTTTGGTGATACGTGATTTAAAAGACACCAAAAATATTTTTATATAAGGCCTATTAAGTTCTTATAGTGACAAATTCATTGGTTTCACTATATTCTCTGAGACCTCACAGTTTAAAAAAACTTGCATTTATTACTTATAATATTTTTTTTTCAGCTAAACTTGCATCCAAGGATTTGTGTTTTGTCATTTTAAACATTAAAAAAAATGAGCTCGAGGACTTCTGATATCTCCAAAGCATTGCACTACTAATATTGTCTAAACTATTCTATGCTTACTTTACGATAGTGAACATAGCTACGGGAGACAATTTTACAGGTGTTTGACGAAGAAAGCAGAAAAATGCGACTTCTTCGGGTGGGCGGGTGGGTTGGAAGATTCCACTACCAACAGTGATCAGACATTGAGAGTTTCCTAGAGGATCGATTATCTCGCAACATTAATCAAGTGCACTTTAAAAACAACCTTATCATATTATTAATTGTTATTTTAATAGTCTCTTTTTTTTAATTTTGATTGTCATGTTACTTACAGTTTAGTGAGGTGTTAGTCTTTATGTTGTAATGTTTAACTTGATTTTTTTTTTTAGTATGAAATGTGCTTAGTAAGATTAGTTCTGCAATAAATAGCACTATAGTACAGGGGATGAAAGATCATAGCACAGCTGCTGCGTAGTAACTTTTTAATAAACTGTAGCTGCCCAAACAGATCCTTAAGCGCCTTGGTTCATATCTTTGCATAACAAAACAGGTAGCAAATTATGACTATTTAATGACCGTGTAGACAAAAACAGGTAGCAATTTATGATAATAAATGGTATCCTTGCATAACAACTTCACCTTCCAAAGAAACAAAAAACTGGAATAGGGCAAACAAAATTTCTACAAAGGACTTCTACAATAACATAAAAATTAAAATCTGGCAAATGCCAAAATTGAAGTTGGTAAGCTTTAATCAGACTACATGTAGGCCTTCAATTGGTTATAAAATTGCTATTTCATGACCATTCATTTTGCAATTACCAAGGAAACTGGAATTGAACTAAATCAAACAAATACAACTAGTCAACAAATCAGTGCAGAATAGGACTCTCACGTGAGTATACATCCCTATGCTTTTACAGCAATGCAATCCATTCAATAATAATAATTTAGAATTAAACCGAATGTTACCTTCTCTTTAGTACAAGCCAACTGCGTTGATGAAAGAAAATCAGCACAAATTCCTTTCGCCTTCAATGTCTTAACCTGGTTTTCCTATTTTAACACAGCATATACAATCAAGTGACGCCAACTAGAGAAAGAATGCCAACATACAATTCATTAAACTTAGCTTACCATTAATGCTGCTCAGAGAAACTCAGAATGGAAACAACAACTTGTTAGTCCAACAAGTTATAACAGGATTTTAGCTCAAAATACCGTAAAACAATTCTTAAATCATATTGCCTCAACGATATTCACCAATTAAAGGAGAAATTACAAGGACAATTCCTGAAGTTGCCAGTGCGGGAATCTGATAGCACATGGACTTTCCTCCCCCTGTTGGCATGAGACAAAAGCAATCCCTTCCTGTAAAATAAATTTTCATATATGAAGAGAAATTAAATGATTAACATATTAGTTCTAGTTTATATTATTTAATATATTAAACTGTGGTATTCTAAACCTGACAAAGAAGCTTCAATAGCCTCCAACTGCTTCCCCCGGAATTCAGAATAACCAAAATGTAGTTTTAAGAGATTCTCTAAACCTTCCTTGCCATGATATTTATTTACGGACCGTGAAAAATGGATGGGAGCAATGAGTCTCTTCATTGGAAGCTGAGAAAGTAATATTTTCATATACATGACAATATAAAAAAGCATGCAATACACACACACACACACACACACAGAGTAGTTCAGCAAAGAAATGGCAGAACTCTGCCCACTGACATAATTCATGAAATACAGTAATGATAATAAAGAAATCAGATTGAGTATAATGCTAAATTAGATTAAAAAATAAGACTCATCCTAGAGGGTCATTTATGTGTTTTGTGTTGCTTTCTTTTCGTATTTTGCTAAGTGTAGTCGTTGATCTTTCCGTTTGCATGTTTATATTGCTTATGTTGAGGAGTAGTCGTCGTAACCCTATTTGAATTCACTAATTATATTTACCTTCTTCCTGTGGTTTGGGTTACGTAAATTATCAATATAATAGGCATAATTTGGGAAATGATATTGCGTGCAAAACTTCAAATTTTGGCTCTATTTGTATAAGAAAAAATGATAGTGTATCCAAGTCTTTGTTTAAAGTGACATTTTGATACGATTTTCCACAGAGATCAGGGCAAAGACATATTTAATTGCAAGAACATCAAATATTCAACATGAATATAAAGATAAGCACCTACAATTTGAGAGGTAGGCGATCTCTTCCAATTCCTACAATTCGAGAGGTAGGAAATCTCCCTCCAAACCCTAAACTTAAAACTCGCAACAATAATCTCATGTCTATGTAGCCCTAAACCTATTATGCTCTATTTATACTAAACAATAATAAACAATTAAAGACTCAATTGCCCTTATGCCAATAAATGACTAAATTGCCCTTTAGGCTAGGTCAACGTAGCAATACTCCCCTTCCAAAAAAACACATTTTCCTAAAGATGGATAAAAGGAAATTGATGCTAGATCAAGCACCCTTGCCTCCTCATCACACAATGTGAAAATCTGTAATGTTTGATGCTCACTTTTCATCACACAGAAAAAAAAAAACCTCTTTGCTCGCTTCTCCTAAATCCCTAAGTCTGTAAGACGCTTGAAGTTGACCCCTGAACAGGCCCGCATATTCTCCTCCTTCGGCACCTCCTGAAATGACATCGAATTGGGTCCTCGACGTCATGGTTGTTAATGTATTCTTATGTAATTCTCCATGATGTTGCTTCTGCTAGCCTTGTTCGTCCGGTTCTTGTTTTCTACCATCGGGTTTAACTCTGTCATCTCCCCAAATCTCCGCAGACTCAACATCAGAGTGTTGCATGAATATTGGGTGTCAGACTTGTCATGAAATTTCTCTCCAATAGTGCTTCAGAAATCCCCCTCAGTCGTCCCGACAATAGCTTGAATCTCTCCCTATACTCCATGACAGTCTCATCCTGAGTCCATGTAAAAAATTGTTTGTGTAGGACTTCTTCCTGAATGGCTCAAAAACTACCTTTTTACTGATTGCTCACATCTTCTATAAATATTATATCTTCTAATGCTCATCGTTAATCACTTAATTAACCTGAAAAGTTACTTTAAAATAATAATGAACTAAACTAATCAGTAAATATTCATACCCATATACCACATTAATACAAAAGAAAAAGAAGCAATATACACATCAGTTAAATTTTTAATAAATTAATAAAAATATATAATATTATTCAAAGAATTTTACTATATCAAAAGCATATCAAAATCATTTTATATTTGTACAACTGGCACGGGAGCGCCGTTTAAAAATTATATAAATTAAGACACGTCAATATCAATATTCTTTTTCATATACATGCATGGGTACATTAGTGTTCCCCCACTAGTAGCATCAAGGGGTGCTCCATCATAATCAGTCATACACATACAAGCAGTCTACATAAACATATCATTCATGTATTCATCGTATTCAATTCAGCACTATATAAAACATACACCAAATGCATGAGAGAAAGAAGTTACAACATTTATAACAATATGACCGGAAAAAAAATTCTCAATCAGAATAAAGTATGTGTGAGTGTCATTAATTACAAAATAATTGAAAAGAAATAAATTATTATTATAGATTAAAAGTATGAGTACGCACCTCGATGCCGATTAATTTGTTATTAGCTTTGATGTCAACTCTTCTAAAATTGGAAACTTACCACAAACATAACATATAAATGATTATTTTAATTATCTATTAAATTTTCATTATTATGTATAAAATTTTCATATCATACTTTATGTAATCTCATTTAATTAATTCTTTTTTTAATTCAATATATATATATATATTATTAATTTTATTATTAAAGCAATAAACATTACCTCGATCAGCCCTAAACCACGCAATTGGCCTCCTTCCTGCTTCGATCGCACGAAGTCGCCTGCCCTTGTTCCTCCCACATAAAACTCGTGTCTCACCTTCACCCTCCTTTTCTCTTCTTCAACGCTCATCTAGGGCATGATCGAAGTCCTTACGCATGCAAGGAAGCTCCTACTTGGTTTTCCTCTTTAACTCGACTTGATAAAGCAGTGCAAAACTACAATCCTCTTCTTACCTCGAGTATGAGGCCTGTTGCATCATTTTCTCGGGTAAGAAAACATGTAACACCCCCCCTCCTTCACTGCTCTTTAACTGCACGAATGAGAGATCCCTCCTCTCGGGTTGATTTATAGGGCAAATACGTCTGATGACTTCCAACTACCTCGTTTCCTCCCCCTTTTTGTTTGTTTTGTCTCCTCGTTTCTTCTAACACCTTGTTCGATGCTTTTGATTCCTCTCTCAGTAACAGGACATTATAACACAGAGTCGACAACGATTCCAGAAAGTTCTCCAATTAACACATGGATTACCATCTCCGAGGGAGCACAAGTATGCAATAAACCTGAAGCTGAGAATTTCTTCCATCAGTGTGCACTCTTACCACTACCCTAAGGTTTCAATTCAACGCTAATAGAGCTCGTTGAATCTTCTAGTAAAAGAGGAGGCGATCAAATTAAGGAGATGAAGATTAAGCTTCACGTAGAATTAAGAGACATATTGAAAACACTTTGCAATGATAAAAAAACTATCATTTTTATTCTTAGTGGATGTGATAAAAGTGTCTTAGATGATAACTTTGGGGGATACAATATGTGGTTGGCAGCAGAAAATGGAATGTTTTTGTTTCTTACAGATGGAGAGTGGATCACTACAATGCCAGGAGATCTTAGCATGAATGGGGTTGATAGTGTGAAGCATGTTTTCGAGTATTTTACATAAGAACTCCTAGGTCTCACTTGTCACTTGTATGGAACTACAAGTATGCATATGTTAAATTTTGAATAATTCAAGCAAGGGATGTGTTAAAGCATCTATGCAGAAGTTCAATATCCAATGCAGTTGTGAATGTAGTCCAAGGCAATCGATCAATTGAGATTCGTTCAGTGGGAGTCACTAAGGGTGTTGCAGTTGATCGAATATTGGGAGAAATTATGCACAACAAGAACATGGTTACACCAATAGATTATGTTTTATGCATCAGGCACTTCCTAAAAGAGGATGAGGGTATAAAAGTTCTCTTGAAGCCACTTTAGTTAAAAGGCATACGTCGGGAATCAACAGGTGGGAAACAAGTATTAATTAAAGGGAATGGTTTATCTGATCAGGATATCAAGTGGGGGCCATGAGACTTGATTCAATTGCAGTTTTCTCTCTTCCACCTTGAGTACAGTACCTTTTTGGGAGAGAAGTAATGTTAGACCACGCCTATATTGCTGTCCACCAAATAATTTAAAAACTTATATTAGGCTTTAAGATTAAAAGGCTAATTTAGTCATTTGTTAATTATTATAACGGGCTTAAAGGGCCTTAATATATTTAGGGTTAGGGGATGTGTGATTGTTGTATTGAATCTTAGAGTTAGGGTATGGAAGAGACCACACCTCTCGAATTATAGATGTTTATTTTTTTATGTACTCAAAATTGTATCAAATTTATTTAATATCGGTGGAATAGAATCTATTATTTCTGCCCTAATTTATATTGAATCTTGTCTCTTTCATTTCAGAATCAAGACCTATTTTAGCATGCTTCAAGATTTGCATATTATGACATTAGCCTCTAGAAAAATGAATTTAGTAAAATTTTTGGAGATTTGTGTCATGCTTGCAAATATAAGATGAGTTCTTTCAAAGTTTTAGTGATCCTAAAATTTAAGATCTCCCCAATTCCTCACAGAACCTCTTGACAACTATGGTAGTGGAGAATTTTGGAGACTTAGTGGTGCGTATGAGAAGAAGGTTTTCTGTTTAAGAGAATCTATAACATTATGAGATTCTTGGGGTTTCCTCTTTGTGTTTAGAAGTACTTAGGATTTAAAAATGGATCATGAGAGCTCTTGATTTATACACCAAAATTGTGATCGATTGGATTTTCTCTCTGCCCCCACGCATATGGGTTTGGTTGAAACTAAACCAATCACTCTGCTCGTGTGTTCTTTTTCTCCATGTTTGCTGCAGACAAATTGTATTTTGGAACGCTCGTCAATAACATAAGTAAATACACTTAAAAGGGTTGCTAAAAGAGTTTACTACATGATTGCTCGAAAGCTTCAATATCATGGCAGGCATGTAGCTTACATATGCAAATTAAAAAGCGTTTAATTATAACAACAAACTGTGAGCTAAAACAAAAGTAAGATTAATCATGGATTAAGAGCTTAGCAAGATAATTCAATTTATTAAGAAAACTAAAACACAATTTAAAGTTTAAGTGGGAGTGGGAGCGCTCGTCAGAAGCAACAAATGCAAAGATAAACAGGTTGTATAGTCAAATGGGTAAACAAATAATTACTTCATTCTTAAGGCATGGAGGGGCATGATGCAAATTTATTTACATCTCAAATCCATCCCAGTTTTAACTTGATGCCTAGTGTGTGGCACTTATCATTAAGAGGTTCTCCTAACTGAGTTCAATTGTGTGGACGAGGTAAAAATAAGATTTTCATCAGTGACACGATGATGGAACTTTTTGCTTCGGAAACATAAGATTTTCTCCGTAAACAAGCTCTTAAATTTTAAATGCTGAAGCCACAAAAAATCATGGCACGTAAAGAAGCGCCATACTGACCCGTAAATTTAAAATCAAAACCCTAGCCTCACAACTCGGTGGAATCTGATATATTGGCGTCAAACAAAAACAAAGAAACAAGGGTGCCTAACCATTCACCAATGTATTGCTATGATGAAATTCCGGAGCAATGTCCCAAAAGAAATCAGATAGAGAGAGAGTTAGGGAGAGCATGGGGTACCAAAGTAAGAGAATCACGGTGGAGAAAGAGAAGATGGCAAGTTCAAGCACCGGAACTGAAGCAAGCGTGCTAAGAATCAAACAGCCGCAACTCGCTGGTTTCTGCTTGGTAGGAGAAAGATCGGCGGAGGCCCACGGTGAGTGGAAAATAAAGAAGAAAAAGAGGGTAATAAAACAAGGATAAAAGAAAGGGGAAGCCAAAAATAATAAATTAATTAAACTAAATCATTATAATTTTAAATAAAATTAAAACTGAATTGACCATAAATTGTGGAAACAATATTTAGAGAGACATTTACCCAATGAACTTTTTTTATGCTATTTAATATTTATGAAAACTTTTTGCCAGACTTTTTTACTTTTAGAAAAATAAATTGTATAAAAAAAATCTTCATGTGTTCTATTTAAAATGTAAAAATTTATTCTCTAAAATTTAATACATTTAATTTAATAATTTTAAATATATGATACTTTAAAAAAATTAAATATGTTAAAAAAGGAGTTTGTCATTAAAGTTAAATTTATGATAATAATTAATTTCTAATTTTATAAATATTAGTATAAAATTTATATTATTGATGTGACAAAATTTAGTATTATTCACTTTTATATTAGAAATCATATTATACACTAAAAAGAATGAAGTATAATAATTATATATAACATAAAAAACATGATAGATCTTACATGTCAACACATGCACACACACACATAGATACACACACAAGTGTGTGTGCATGCATATACACACATTACACGTGCACTCATACACAGATATATATTATATATATATATATATATATATATAACATCAAATATCTTTCATACATAATATATGTATGTCATACTAATATTTATGGTATTATTTTGGTGGTATGACTATACCGTCTAAAGTGTAGTGATTTGGAGCATAACGGTCTACCTCATACTTGTTGATGTTATTTGCTTTTAGTTCTCGAACACATCCTCAACTCCTTGATTGTGAACTACTAGATAGGTATATAACAATGATCGGAATGATGATGAGCATCCAAAATTATTGCTCCTGAGGAACTAGTGCAACAAGTAGCATCCAAGCTGCCCTCATAGTGTGAAGTGAAAGAAACAACACTTCTATCTCATCTAAAGAGGTTGTTCAAGCGTAAAAAATTCTTTGAACATGTTTATTGAGGCATGATTATTTTATTTTTTTTAAATAAAAAATCGGTTGTCCATTATTGATGAAACATTATAATTTTTTATCGTTATATATTTTTATCTAATTTCATTAATAAATTCTAATAAAAATTTCTTAAAGTTGGTGATGACGTTCTTAAGCTTCAATGAAAAATTTTAAGAAAAGTATTGAAAATGTTGGTTTGCACTAGTGTGCACTCCTGCTTGAACTATCTTATGACTCTGCCATTGCCTTTACCCTATATAATTCCCATTGATATTTGCAGGATTGGATACTCAAAATGTGGGTCTTCTTGCATGAAGCATCTCCCAACAACAAACATACAATAAATATAAACACCTGGCCATTTAATTCTCTTAGGCTTAGTTATCTTATTAAGTTCTTATAAACAAGTTTCTAAGTGGCGCTTCTTTAACAGAGTACTGGAAAAAAAAACTTTCAAATTGTTATAAAGCAACAAGTATTACAAATGAATATCCAAATCATAGGTATTTGAATTGAGAAAAAAAATCAAGTATGAAGAGTATACATGTCGAACATGTCTGCAGAAGGTGATATCAGGAAAACCTTAGCATGACTTTTGAATGTATGTCTATCTCAGCTACCAAAAGGATATGATAGTTTGTGTTCTAATATGTCCCATGTGAAAAGTTGATGCAACATTTGGGTCATTAGGGCAGCGGTGCATCATGTCTGGAATGGGGATGGTCATTAAGTAGATTGCAATATGTTGACCTCACTTTTGGTTGAGGTCTAGAAAACTTCTTTAGTAGCCTAGGTCTAGCCATAGGACTTTCCTATTGACTAGTCTTAGAAAATTAGAAGAGGTACCCCACCATTAGAAATTCAAAA